CCACCACTTTGGACTTGGTCTGGCGGCAAAACTTTTGTCAGCTGTTTGTAATTTAAATGTGCAAAGTTACACAAAGTCTTAACCCAATGCACACCCCTGTCGGAACGGGAGGGGGTCAGTCGAGCGGAAACGGAGCAGCTTCAATGCCCATGCGCACAAGGGTTAAGCGAGAGAGCAGAGAAGATTGGTCAATCTATCACGAAAGCTAAAGAAAGCCATAGGTACAGGCTAGGACAGGTTTATAATAACGAAATATTATAGATATAAATATAATATATTTTACTAAATTTTGTAGAAGAACGGATCTGGCTTTAGTTTAGTTTCTTCAACCTGCTCTCTCTAAATTTTGAAATAGTCGTAATTTTCCTGACATACTTGATGTCGCTTGTTATTAATTCCCCCCCAAAAAGAAAAACCCTTGATGACACTGCTATTATTTCCAGCTCAGCCTTAGCTTAGGTTGCAGAATATCTTATTACGGGTATGCCCTCGGTGTTGTTGTGCTGCTCATAAAGGCGTGACATGAAGTCATGCTCCTCATACCTTTCATACCTTCGAGGGTGATCGGGGGAAAATTGCTTCCCGTGGGCGTGTGGGAATGGAATTGAGTGGAGTGGAATGGAGTGGAGTGCCTCTTGATTCTTGCCTTGAAATTGTCGCAGCTAATTTTATGCTGCACACCGAACACACAACAGCAACAGCAACTCCGGGTTTGTTGGGTTCACTGAGCACAAATTGGGTCACACACCAAGACCTTTACATGCAACTCCAACAAACTCCAACTCCAACAAACTCCAACACCAACAAACTCCAACTCTGCAATTCCACTGCAATTAAATCTATTTTAAGATGCACAAATAATGTATAATTTTAAATTAATTAGGGTATCTTTAAAAAATCAATCAGGTAGCTTGCATAATTTATGGCAATCTTGAAACTATTTTCGGTTTTGCCTTTCGCTTTCAGCCATATAATCTTTTACGTTTTACGTTTGTGTGGCTTTTGTTCCGCTAATGAAATTGTCGCCAAACTGTAGCAACTTGAGCAAATGATTGCCATATTTAGGCCGTGTTTGGTGTTCAATAAATACCAAACGAACCAGTTGGCAAAGCGATTTTGGCCAAATAACGCCCCCAAAAAACGTGAGACTTACTCAGAGCTTACTCAGAGACACTCATTTGCACACTCTCGAGACATGATCTCATTCTGATTGCAATTTGACAAAGCTTCTAGGAATTTTATATTTTATTTTATATACAATATACATATATGATATGAGAAGTTCTTCTTTCTTTATGCCCATTTTAACACTTATTTTGTTCTGGTCTGTGGAAAGCGATAAGACAGCGAATGAGTGTATGTTAATTAAGCTTGTGAAAGCGTTTCAAACATAACATTTCGTGCTCAGCTCAACTCACTCGAGACGTGCCACGAATTCTGGAGTTGAGAGATCAGCTTTCAGTAGATTCTAAAGTGCGTCGCAGCTGGAGCTAACAATCATTAAGAGTCTAGCGGTTTTAATAGAGAGTTATGCTTAATGATCTTTAGGCTTTGAAAGGGTTAATAACTCGGCCTAAAAATGGGTATTATGAACTCTTTTTTAACACTTTAATGCCACTGAAATATCTCTCAAATTGTTGCATATATCAAGGACATTCTTTTGCTACTTTGACTTTCGTCTTGACATTTGTGATTTATGCGTTTTTGATTTAAGCACTTCAATCTCAAGCTTGACTTGTGTGTGTGTTTTTGTTTCACCCTCGGAGACACGAATAAATCATGTGCTATGGGGATTGGTTGGGGATTTGTCGCCATATAACAGATACATATATCCACATTTATAGCTCCTCGACTCCCTCCATTTTTTTTGCTGTCTGTCTCACGTGCGTAGGACACACAGCACACACATTTATCAATCACTTGGAGAACGAACTCGCATGTGTCACACTTTTCCAAGTTTGAGCAATGCCAACTGCATAAAATATTCACCAAAGGCGAAACAGGGAATAATATTAATAATATTAACAGTTTCGCAGGCGTTGCAGTGGCTGCCAAACCCTCTGACATCCTCCTTTTCTTTCACTTGTATTTCCCTTCCCCTTATTTTCCATTGCTTTTGTTATAAGGTGCATACTTTGTTTTCATTTTGTGAAGAGGCGAGGGCGTTGGATGCAAAATGCACATTTTTAATGACGCCCGCCTGTACTTGAGGCCGAAACAATAACAAAAAAAAACAACAAGGAAACACTGTTGACTTTGCCAACGTCGCAGGATTTTTGCACACATATAGGGGAGAAATAGGGACCAGACACAAGGGGTCCAGGGACAGGGACAAGGACTGAGTATGGTGAGGAGAGAGATCGGTGCCCTTCGGTGTATGCAAATCAGTTGTTCAATGCAAGGAGAGATGACTTTGCCCCCAGGGGCCTCCGCTGTCTCCCTGCCTTCTCTTCACTTTACCCCACTAACCTCGAAATGATGCCACTAATACAGTGAGAGAAAAGGAGGGAATAGTTTAAGTAAAGATATTTAAAAAGATAGGAATTTTAGAACTTTTCATACTAGAATTCCCTTTAAAATTTACTTAACTTAGTAATACATTAAAGTATTAAAGGGTTACGGAAAAAGTTACCTTTCAGTACTACAAAACCTTTAAAGTTCTTGTAAAATTCCTCATTTATTTCCCCTTTTTCTCGGTGTACCTGATGCCCCCATCTTCAGGCTGCCATATGGCTATAGTTCCGCTTTCGGTTCTCCTCACTTTTGGTTCCATTTCTGCACCGAGTTCTGTGTTCTGTTCTGTGTATTCTGTGTGCTTTGTCTCTTGTATGTTCTTTTAGATCTCAGCTCGTAACACTTTTCCCCCCAATCTTGTGGCTCGTGTGTCTGTGTACTGAAATCCGCTTAAGTTCCTTGGAATCGGCACATAAACATCATAATCATCATTGTCGGCATTATGATTGTCATCGTTTCTGGTTCTCTGGTGCAAAAGTTCTACATTCGTCATGCTTTCCACTTTATTACATTTAACTTTGGCATTTTCCGGTTTGCTCAGTTGTCCGGCTGTGCTTAATACTGCTCTTACAGACTCCAAACACAAATGCTTTCCTAATTAGATCTAGAGAAAACCGAAAAACCAATTGCCAAAGTGGAAATCTTGCTTGACAAATTAGCTGAGGGGTTGAGATTGAGTTTTCCCTATTAGATGACTCACTTCCTTTGTTGACCCAACTCGAGCTTAGCCTTATCCTAACCTAACTATCTATCTATTTTCGGGGCTGGGTTTCCTCTACTCTCCTCCCTTGTATATTTCCCAATTTTTCCCATTTCCCCACTTCTCATTTGCCATTTAAGCAAACATTAAAAGGGCAACCGCCCTCGGCAAATGAAGCCAACTAAGCGTGTGACGTGACCGCCTCTATGAGCTGTATCTGCAACAAGCTCACTCCAGTTCCACAGTTTCATAGTGCCATAGCTCTAGTTTCCATTTAATTCCCCATTCAGCCATCCATCCATCTAGTAGTGACTGTCTAGAGTTACAACAAAATTTATTAATTTTCCTCAATTGCCACATTCGTTTTGTTTTTGTCTGCCAAAAGGGAGTTGCAGTAGGAAATATGCATTTGCATATTGTTTTGGTTCACACGATATAGATACAGATACAGATACAGATACAGATACATAATAAGCCCGGTGAATGCCTGAGCGATGGATGTCAAAATCCATTGGATATGCACCCAAAATGACTGACAATGCAATTCATTAGCGGTGCAGTCAGCTAACTGGAAACTACTTTGGCTTGAATAATCGACAGACTGTGGTCTAACCTTGCAATCGATGATGGGAGTGGAAGTGAGTGGAGTGCTCTACCTCTACCTCTACCTCTTCCTTCCAGTCTGTGAAAAGACCCATTTCCTTTTCTAATTCCATTCTGCATTCTGCATTACTTCCCCCCAAAAAACTTCCTGGCGTCTCATTACTTCCAGACATCAGCTGCAGTTGCAATTGGCAGCCGGCAGACCATTAAATCAAGGCACGAACTATCGATGAACCTTAACTTGGCCCGAAACACACTCACTTTAACCCTCACTTTGGGCCAAAACCCTTTAACCCCCATTTGGCTGCTGGCCAGTGCTTGAAAATCTAACAAAAGAATCGCAGAAATGGAAAAACTGTTATGTGCAAATAAACGAAAAAAGGAACTTTTTAATATGCTCGCTTGTTTAGGGACTAGACAAAAGCATCGAGTGGCGCCCAGGAATTGAAAAGGAAATGCCTTTGCGGAAAAGCAACTAGGGAGGAGGAAAGGCTTCCCCGCTCATGTCAAATGAAAATTGTTGGCTTAATGTTATCAAAAATTCAACCCAGCCTCGAGTTTCCTCTCTGCGCAAATCCATCACGTAATCCACGCCCCTACACCCCACACACACCACACACACACTGCACACCATACACACACCCGCCCACCTATACCCACTGCCATATTTGTTTGGCGCTTTTGCAAATAGTTTGTGCCAACAAAATTGCAAAGGCATCGACAGTCGCTGGCTGCACCACTTGGAGCTCTTTCCATGGAGCTCTTTCTGGCTCTGCCATTATCCAATCCATCCACATGGCCCCCGGGGGCACCACCATCGGGACATTTGCATGCGGAGCAGGGGTGGTGCCTTCGTCGACGATAATTGCATGAAATTATTATGCAGCCGTGAGCTGTTGAGCCGCTCTTTTGTCCGTTGCCATGTGGGAGGCTCCACTGTGGCACCCACACACACTCATAATCAGGCCCCAGTTGTGTACGGCTTGACATAGGGATTGGGACTGGGACCGCATGCTCCCTCTGACACACTATACCGGCTGAATAATCAGTGACCGAGAATGGAGTATAGAAAATTATATTTATTTCCACTCAGGATCAGCAATCAGCAGTGAATTATTATTTGTATACCCTTAATAATTTAAGAAACCTTCATCTAATTAAGGTTTAAAATCCCTTTCCACAGAACCACCATCGTGGCAGCAACGCCAGCGAGGAGCGCGTGCCACAGCCCCACTCGCCCCACGACAGTCACGCCCATCCGCACAACGGTGGACTGCAGCATTCGGGCTCCCGGGCAACGCTCCGCCACTCGATGAACCACTCGAGCACCTCGACAGTGTCCGGCTCCGCCTGCAGCTCTACGCCCGCCTCCCCGCAACTGAGTGGCGTGGTGAGCGCCTCCGGGGGCCAGATGCTGTCCAATGGACACCACTACCAGTCCCAGTCATCGGTCAGCTCCAACTCCTCCATTGTCTCGGCCATTCCCGCCTCGCAGAGACTGCTGGAGGAGGCGCTGGCCAAGTCAGCTCCCTATCCGATGATCCTGCTGCCGCAGCTGGGCGGATACTGGCTGGATGGTACCGAGCACGAGTGCGGATATGATGCCCGGGGTAATCCTTTGCTACCACAAACCACCTGGATGGCCAAATTCGAGACGGATGACACGGCCAAATGCTATCGGAGATTTTATGCCGCCAGGGAGCACTCGAATCTGGTGGGACAGGATGAGCAACTGGGACCGGTCTTGATATCCATCAAGACGGAGAATGTGGCCAATCAGGAGCATATGCGCATCCTACTCCGACTGAGGACAGGAACGATGCATGAGCTTATCCCGGTCTCATGCCTGGGCGCCCAGCCCAGTCCCCTGAAGATGGTGCGGCTGCTGAACGAGCAGATCCAGGTGGATCACTTTATGCCGGTGCTGTGCCCCAAGGCCTCGCAGCTAATCAGCGTTTACGATGAACATGTCCTCGTTTCACACTTCAAGTTTGGAGTGCTCTACCAAAGATATGGACAGACCACCGAAGAGGAGCTGTTCGGCAACCAGATGACCTCGCCGGCCTTTGACGAGTTCTTGGATGTCCTTGGTCAGAGGATACGCCTTAAGGATCATAAGGGTTACAGGGGTGGCTTGGATATCCAGAATGGACACACTGGCGATACAGCTGTCTATGAGGTTTTCAAGGAGCGGGAGGTCATGTTCCATGTCTCAACCCTGCTCCCACACACTGAGGGTGACCCACAGCAGCTGCAACGGAAGCGGCACATTGGCAATGACATCGTGGCCATCGTTTTCCAGGAGACCAACACTCCCTTCTCGCCGGACATGATTGCCAGCCACTTCCTGCATGCCTTTATTGTGGTGCAGCCCATTGAGCCGAATACCCCTCACACCCGGTACAAGGTCAGCGTTACGGCCCGCGACGATGTACCCTTCTTTGGACCCACACTCCCCAACCCGGCCGTCTTCCGGAAGGGACAGGAGTTCAAGGAGTTTATTCTCACCAAGCTGATCAATGCGGAGAATGCCTGCTACAAGGCCGAGAAGTTCGCCAAGCTGGAGCAGCGCACAAGGACCTCGTTGCTTCAGAATTTGGTGGAAGAGCTGCGCGAGAAGACCCGTGACTTTTTGGGTGCCGATCTCTCCCAGACTTCTGCCGGCAGTCCCACCCCAGAGACCCCGAAAGCGGAAAGTGGCAGCGGAGGTAATGCCGGCTCACGGTTCATAGACACGGTGAAGAAGGCCCTAATCATGCGAGTGAGATCACAGAGCGTGGATACCGGAAATGGACATGGACCCGGGCAGACGGATAAGTTTAGTGTAAACACCAAACTGGGCACTCTGAATGCCAAGAAGGAGGCGCATCCCGAAATGCAGACACCCAATTTGAATGTGAGTTCATAGAAATAATAATCAATAATTCAATTTCTTAAACTATGATCTTTCTCGATTTCCTCAAAACAGACCTGCAGTCGTACAGCCTCAAAATCTTCATCTAAATCCAAATCCTCAAACGAGTCCACCTCCTCATCGCCGGACATCACCTCTCGCCAGGCGAACAACAACAACATCAACAGCAACTCCAACTCCAATGGAGGACTTTTGGCCCAAAACGGATCTGGAGGAGGCGTGGCCGCTGCGGTAGCGAGTGCCGCCCAAAATGGAGTCGTGGCGGTGGCCACCATGTCCGAGACGAGCGATGACTCCAGCCTGAACAGCGTGGATCTGGACCCAATGATGGCCAATTACATGGACAGTGACACGGGACTGGAGAGCATGAGTTCTGCGGAGGCCACCACCAAGGCCTGCTCCCTGTGCTTGGACGGTGTCCAGTCCACCATGTTGGGCAGCTCGCCCAGCAATGAGACGATAATGAAGATTGAGAATCTGCGCCAAGAGGTCACGCGGTTGAAGTGTGACAAGCTGGATTTACTCAGGCAGAATGTGGTGGGTATTTGCTTGAACTTAAGAGAGAGAGATTATGAGGATATATATTAATCCAAATTTTATCTATATCTTGCAGACCTGTCAGCGGGACATTAAGCGTCTTAGGGAGCGGGAACTGTCACTGCAGGGTGATCTGTCGGCAGCCGGCAGGGAGATCCTGCGGCTGCGGGATCTTCTCAAGGAATACATGCCGGATACAGCAGCAGCTCCGCTCTCCATATCGCCTATCTAAGCGTCAAACGCTGTCCTTGGACGAGGCAGGAGGCGGAGGTGTCTGCTGGAGGTAAAGGGAGTAACCACTGTGCCGTGTATAACACTTTGGAGGAGTCGTTCGTTTGGCGAGTTGATTTGCAGACAGTGGCGTAGCCCCGAAGAGAGATGAACCCCAAACAAAATGGAAAACAAACAAAAACTGTATTATATTTAGTTTACGTAGCTGTTAGATGTGAAGATCTATAGAGATTGGATAGGTGGCAGCAGGCATGCGCATATTGACAAGTTATTATATATAAACAACATACAAAACAGTTACAAACTAAACTAACGAATACAAAACAAAACAAAAAACAAAGCGATAAAACAGCTAAAGCAAAACAGAACACAAAACTCAAAAAAGTACACCAAATATATAATATAAGTCTTTAAGCATATTTAACGCAAGAATTAACACCCTAAAGAACTATTCCAGATCCCATCCTAAGTAGAAAGCGATCAATCGCAAAGCATCACAATTGCAGAGATCGATATCGATATGCATACATATTATGATTATAATCGAAACACACACACACACACAAAAACACACTTGTAGCAAAGTTTTGAGGTTTACAAAACCGTTACTCGTTCGTTAGTCGCACCCATAAAGTGTTACCGTTGCCGTGACTGTTACTGTGACTCTCGTTTCACACTTCATCTTCCCCCCCCCCCATAATCGACGATAACTAAATTATGATCGACTTGATATGATTTTCTATTAAATTAAATACAAATCACCAGCAGAACAGAGCAAGAGGGAACTGTTAACCTTAAGTTTAAGTTGCTTTAAATAATTTTACCTAAACCGTATGTTAATTAATTATTTTTTAAGTTTAACCAAAAGCAGAAACCGCATCATCGATGAGCCAATGACTCACGAAAAAATATATTAAATAGTTTGCATGGCGCGCATTCATTGTACATATGTGTAGGAGCGCGCCCTATAATTCTCGATCCGCATTCGGATCTTTCGAAATTAACTATGACTATCTTTATTTTCTAATCGATTAACGATAACGATACCAATAACCGACATAAGGGAGAGCAACGCAAAAATGAAACCAAGCAAGTAGTAAAGTTGGGAAAAACAATTCCAAGAGCAAAAGTTACGAATCACGCAAACATGAATTTTGTCTAAGTACCGCGAATAATTGTTTTTGTTGAGATGCATTATCATTTTATTGTGTAAAGTATAGAAACACCAACAAATATATGCAAAATATATGGAATATATAAACAATCGACGATTGACTTTTCAATGGGAAGGGGAAATAATGATAAATATTAAAATTGCAATGCAATTTAGTTTATTTTTAGAAATATGTTTTTTACGTTTAAATGTATTCATTATATTCTTTTTTATATATTTTTCTTAAACAATTTTCTTTAACAAGAACTGTTTGAAATTAACGGTCTTTAGTTAACACAGGGCTTAACAGAGGACCACTTTTAAGCAAGCACTGTTTAAAGCTAATAATTGAATATGTTTAGGGAAAATATTAATAATAACTATAAAAATTCCTTTGAAATTTGATTTGTTTTAAAGGCATGTTTTTTTTGACTTTTCATTTTACCCATTATATGATTTTTTATATGGTTTTGTAAACAAATGTCTTCAGAATTGTCTACAGTTTTTACAGTTTGAGAATTACTGTCTGTAGTTTGCAGATGGTTTAGCAGAGGACCACCGTTTGGAAAGGACTGCTCAAAGCTAAAAATTGGATATGTTTAGTGGAGTTTTAAACAAACCCCTAAAAGACCTATTTAATTTTTGTTTCAATTTAAAATAAATAATCCATATTTAGTTTCACTTTGCTTAATTGCTATTAATTTATTTTACATATTAAATTTAAGTCTCGCAAATGAAATGAGCCTTTTCAGCGCAGTCAGCATCGTACATGTAAAAGTTAATTTCCTGAATGCAGTGTTGGTTAAAGTTATAATTGTCGGGTTGCCCTTGTCGCCATTTCAAGAAGGGCGCTGGCTCGCCGCGATGTAAGGTAACGAATTTGCCTTCCTGATCTAAATCGTTGAGAGACAGCCAATATTTAGAGTCCCATTTCAAATTGGGTACGATAAGATTCATCTCCACTTGGCTTCGGATTGTCGCCAGTTGACCATTCATTCGACGGCATGTCCTTGCAGCCTGAAACCAATCCTGGGTTGCGTTCTTTTCGATGTAGAAGAACTTCGATCCAATCTTCTCGAACTTGTCTGGAAGACTGGCAGCGTGAAGTGCTGGCAAAGCCAGGAAGAATATTATTATTGACGAGTGACCGAACATTATGAAATTTTATTTAAACACTGTCCGGGAATGCCATGACTGCGGTATATTTATATGCGACGAGCTATTCAATATAACTGATAAGGAACATCTTTTTATATATTCCAGGAATTCGATTCAATGATAACACATAAGCAGAAGAATCTGTGCTTCTTCCTGGAACCTATGGTTATTGATTATTAAAAAAGACGAAATCTTACTGCGGTTTAGGATTCGGATTAGGTTGTCTTCTAAAATTTTATGAAATTGTGCTTATATGGTCAAATTTGAAGCCCAAAAATATTCTACAACAACCACCGTTTTACAGCAACAATATTTGTTATTTATAGTAAATTTTAAAATAATATAATATCAAATAATATATGTATTTTAAATATCTCATTTTTAATAGCATGGTTACAAGTTTAAACATATTGTTATATATTCATTCAAACATAAATGCATAAACTATCGATGCTGAAAGTGGAGGTATCGATACTATCGAGTGTCAAACATTATTTTAGAATTTCTAGTTCACAAAATTCCAGTTCGAAATTTCACTCAACGAGGGTGGTTGTACAGAAAAAGAAAAACAAGAAAAACAATCTACCGCATCGGTGGAAAACATTTATTTTTTATATTACATAGATTTTTTTTAGCTACTTGTGCATATTTTGGCTGGTAAAGCTATTTTTTAAAAAGCTTTTTAAGCTTTTTTATGCCCCAACGAGTTGGCAGCACTTTTCAGACCTGAAACCTATAAATACGAGTGCAATCAGTCATTCGAAGAAAATATCGCGCGGCAAATCATTTTCGTAGAAATTTTGTTCGTAACAAATTCGGGGGCGGCAAATCCAACAAAAAAAAAAAACATATATACGAACGATTCGCCGATACAATATAATTTAACCAAACACCGTTCCGAAACCCGAAAACTAAAAAGAAAAATAATGAAACGAGGCAGCCGTGCAAATAAAATGGTGTAAACAGCTGAGTTTTTGGCTCATTAAAGAATTTATTGTTTATAATTTCTACGGGATGCTTCGACTGTGTGCGTTGTTTTCGCAAAAAAGCAACGCTCCTCCTCGCCTTCAACAAAAAAGGGGCGTGGAAAGAATTTTCACGTGCTTGTGTTAGTGTTTTTGTGTATAACATGAATTAAAAAAAAAAAGATGTTCCTGAATCCTTCATCCGGAAATTGTCATGTAACTCCTTAGAAGTGTGAATATTTCAAGGAAAATTGCCGGAAAGTCAGAAAAGAGAGGCAAAAGGAAAAAAAAAAAAGGATAACGAATTAGTCATCGCTGGCAGCGACGTTGGCTGCGCAGTCGGCAGCGCATCCTGTCCACTTGTGCGTGTGTGTGCACATGCGTTTAACTGCGTGCGTGTGTTTGTGCTTGTGTGTGTCTCTCTATTTTTGAATCGGCTGCCGGTTTTTGCAAAACAACAACACAACAACAACAACAACAACTTGTTTGTTTCAACTCTTTTGATCCCTAAAGAACGCAAGAGAGAGACAGCGCGAAAGAGAGAGCAGAATGGAGCGAAAATTTACGCGGGGCTTAAATAAGCTCGGCTCGGCGGTGCAAATGAGAGAGAATGTCTCCCAGCTGGTCCGAGAGAGCGCTGTTTTGGTAAGTTCCTACTGCTAAGCACTGTTATTATTTCCGTCTAGCTATCCCCCTCTCGCTCACTCTCCCCCATGTTTTCACAATTTTATTTTCGTTTTCAGAATTGCAGTTCTGTGTGTGTTTGTTTTTGTGTGTGGGTGTGTCTCCAGCAATGCATGTCACCTTTGTTTTGTTTACCTTATTTTTTTGTGGTTGTGTGTTTTATTTTCGAAATACGTGGGGAGGATGCTTTATACGTGAAACTAAAATTAAATTATATAGAATTTGTCAGAATGCAAAATTGGTCTTTGTATGTTTTTTTTTTTTCTTTGGTTTATTCAACAGAATTTCCCACTTTCAAACGCACACACATGTTATACATTGCAACATACAGTCTCAAAAATTAACAATTGTGGTCAAGATTTTACATTTAAATTTAAATTTAAAAAACGTAAATTTTTTTAAAATTACTGATGATTTATAGAATAGGAAATTTACTTTATTCATGAAAAAACAAAAGATTTTTGTTGCTTTTTGAAACTCAAGTCTAATTGGGAATTTGTTTTATGTTATAAAATCAAAAATTCAGGTTTAAATACAATATTTGCCTTCAATATTTTAAAATTATTAAAAAAATGTTTGTTTAGTATTAAAATTATAAAAAAAAAACTGACTTTCAAGTACTTTTATATAAACTCCACTATTTCCTTAACCACAACTGTGGTTTTGGGCATATTTTCCTATTCTGTTGGCACTCATCCAATATGTTTTGAATATTTTTTTAATAATATTAGCTTTACACTTAGCACATATCACTGAGATCATAATGTTTTATAAGGGAAAATATTTCATCCCTCAGTCGTTGCATAAGAAGAATAACAACATGTAAGATATAGTGCGAGGGAAAGGGAAAACTTGTTTTGTATCTTGTAGATGCAAGTTCTTCGCTCGGTAGGCCGGACCCAAAGAGAGCTCCCAAGAGAATCCGCCAAGGCCGTGAGATTCAAAAATTCCACAGCTACACAGCTTCCACTTTTGTTTAAATTCATGTTGAACGATAATGAGGTTCGTTGTAGAACCAAATACAGTGTTAATTCCCTCGAGAGATATTTTTTTTGTTGGTCTTATCTGACTTTAAATATATTCATTTTGGTCATAAATTTAAATCATTTCAAGTAGTTTAATATTTAAATACATATTTAAACTACACGCCTTGACTTCCAGCGTAACTCAAGTTTCTTATCACAAAGTTTAGTGCTTTACATTTCAATTCAGTAAAATGAACACAAAATTTATGGGGAAAATACAAAGAATTGAAGCAAGATTAACAGAAGTTTATAATAAAACCTGAACCTCAGTATTTCTCTGCTTATAAATTATGGAAATTATCTAAGCATTTTAAAGATATTCTATACAGACGCTGCCCGTACTATGTAAACATTCCAAACAAGTTTTGAATTTTGGGGTGTGACTTCATATTTTGAGGGCTTCGCCCACGTGTTGACACCCAACAAATGAAGGCAGGGATATGGGGTCTTCCTCCTACTATCGATAGTACCCACTAATTGCATTATTTCAGACCAACAAAATTATATTAGAGCAACATTAGCCACGCTTCCAATGTCAATTAACAGTGTGTGTGGTTCTACTTCCTCTTTTATACTCTACCCCCTCCTCGGCCACCTTCATCCGTAATTCAATTAGTGCGTAAAGTGAGAGTCGAAGCCAAAATGATAAGCAATTGTTGACTTACAGCAGCAATCAACCATCTGACAGGCAATCAAACCATAATAAGCATTGCTTATGTGTATCTAACACAGTTGTCGATAGTTCCACTGAACAAAAATGTTATTAAAACAAATTGTTAATATATTGTTAGTATATTATTGACTGTTCAAGAATTAAAAAAGGAACGCTGGCCTTAAAAAGTATCTTAAAGGTACCTTTCAGGCAATAGATACAGATAAGGTACAAATGTTTATAGATTCTCTTGAATCCGAAATATAATCAAAATATGATTATATAAATCCTGGATATTATTATAATTATACTTTCAATTCAACTTTACAGCTGGTTAAAATAATATATTTTTCCAGTGCATAGATAAATTCATCGGCAATAAAAAGAAGAGTGGTGGTTGAGTGGGTTGCAGTGGATCGTCAGCTCTTCTCTTCAAAATCTTCCATGCCTGTCATGGGGATTTGCACATCCAAAATGACAGTATTTCTTTTTTTTTGTTTGTAGGAAAATTTCTCCCTCTCCTACCACACTAATTAAATATTTCGTTATAACCCCAAGAATTTGTTTGGTTTAATGTGGTTCAGCGGGTCAACATAATGAACTTGACAAATTTAACAAACATTTATATATCCGAAAATATAAAGAGCTTATGTGTCGGGTCATTACTTAACCCCCAAAATACATGCAATGTTTCTTTGTTAATTTTCATGGCTCCCTTCAATTTATTATACATTTTCGACCTGTTTGTTAAAATACTTGCCAACTTATTGCTGTGCACATGTGCCGTACAGTCTGTTATCCGATATCAAAGTAAATATCGTTTGTGCGGTTGGCATTACAATATTTAAAGGGTTTCTAGAAGAGGGGAGGCCTGGAGAAGCTGGAATCATTTTACCGTCAGCGAATTGCGACTTTATAATGAGTGAAAATATTTGAGGAAATAATATACTATGGAATTTATATAAGTAAATGAGTTTCAGGAAACTTAAATGAATTTAAGCTACAAGCTTGTTGACTAATTCAAACTCAAGGCTTTTGAAATAGGTTTTAACTAGTAAATAACCAATTAAACTTGGCTATTAGAAAGCGTATAAGAAAAGGTATAAACCTTGATTTACTTTTATAAGTAACAGGTTTTTTTTTGCAATTATAAAAGGGTATACAATATAAATAAAGTGTTAAATCCCTAAGACACTAAATGATTTATGAGTATAAATAGCTTTGTGTATTCCAATTCCTAAGAATTTCAAGGCAGCCTCTACCTTTTGTGTCATGACCTCATCTCCCAATTATGCTGAGCACCTCTATATACAAAAATATATAGTATACACATATATATGTATAAGAGGTTCCTTATAAGTTGATAAAAAGAAAAAACAACGCAAAATCTCGACTCAAACAACAAAATTCACTGTTGCTGAGATTTTGCCTGTCTCCTAAGCTGAAATGAAATTTTTGGCTTTATTTGATCAATAAATCCATTTGATTACATTACAAATTATCAGTTAGCATTTGTTAATTTGTTTCAATGCTTATAATTTTAATTTTTAGTTTAATTTAATGTGACGTAAACGCTAAAAAGCTTTCTGGGGATTTCCTCTTTATACCCTAATCAGGGTATTATAATTTTAGTCAGAACATGTTACGCATTGAAAGAGTCATTTGCGACCCTATAAATCATATATATTCTTGATCAGCATCAAAAACTGAGTCAAACTAGCCATGTTTGGTAGAAAACAAAATTTTTAAGATTTTTGAAAAAAGATAAGGGGTTACATCGTTAAAATTGTCAAAAATTGGGAAAATTTTAATATTTAAAAATTTAAATTAAGTATGGAGATTTATCAATCTAATAAAAACTAAGATAGAAATTCTTTCCGAATTTAAATTAATGCATTTTTGGCTTAGTTATGCATTTTTTAAACTTTGATTTTATCGAAAAAATTGTCATTTAATAATATCTTTATTTGAACTTATTTTGATTTCTAATTCGATGCTAAACAGCAAGAGTATGTGAACTTCGTCTTCCCAAAATTAGTTTCCTTTCTTGTTTTAATGTCATTTTTATTACTTTTGAAAGCTAAATACATACATATATGTTTAAAGTGGCCAAAACAAAAAAGGGGTGAAGGGTGAGAGGGGAAGGTGAAGTAGGAAATAGAGTAGGTAAAATGGTCATGGCTCAAGTGCTTTTCTACTGTCATTACCCATTAGGTTTTTCATAGATTGGGTATATATGATTTTAGTTATCTAACTGGTTAACAGAAATTGTCATTTAAGAATATTTTTTAATTACTATTTGTATTATTTATCTTATGTAAATGCTTCAGTAACATAAATTATTCTTGAACATATGTAGTGTAGTAGAGTTTAAGTATAATACACTCATTCATTTAATTTTAATTTAGTTATCTATTTAGCCTTTTTAGTATTAGACTACATTGACGTCTATAGATGCGTGTAACTAAATGTTAATTTACAAATATAATTGTAAACTCGTAAATTATTTGTTTATATAAAATGTTGCAAACCATTTCATTAACTCTATCGTCATCTAGGTCACTAAATCGTTGGGAACCCTTATATTATTCTATCCTATTGATTTATTTGATGTGCTTTATTGTTGCTAGCTGTCTCTTTTTTCGCGTCTGCTTTTATTGTTTATTTTTGTCTTTTTTCGTGATTTTATTCTGTGTCTCGGTCATCGTTTTTTCCGCCCCTCAAACCCCCAACGGAAATATCGTTTCCCAACTTTTATTTTTTGTTCAAGCATTTCCACCGAGTTGACGTGCGATGTCTGCGCTTTAATGAGCTCCACTCTGTTCCGATTCTATTATATTTGTTTGTATCACGGTTGTTATATAGTATCATGGTCATCCAGCTATATCTTTCATCATCTGATCAACCTTTGGCTATTAATAACAGAGCTTGTGATACTGACCCAAACATTTCCCTCGTCTCTTTCTATATCATTTTAGATGAACTGCACTGGCCGCTCTCAGCGCAGTCTCTCCATTGTGGTAAAAATATATATTATAATCAAATATATATGCAATGAAATTGTAATTTTGTTAATAATAAGTGACAGTAGTACTCGAATTAATAACTGAATTTCTCTTAATGTTTATATCGATTTGTTGAAGGACAAACCAAGTTAATTCTAAATATAAACTTCATTGACTCCCTAAAAAATAATGCTAACAGCCTTAAAATATATATGTATTTTATTATGGCAAATCAAATTTAATAACATAGTGATATGATTTAGTTCTCTCTACATTATT